CCAGAAAATTCACTTTCCTCCTCCCAGAATAGACAGCGCTGGCCATCGATCTGTGCCGTTGTTTGCCCCCAGGCAGCTCTGCTTACACAAAAGGCCATCACGAACCCAAACAGACGCTTCCGCTGCAACCCAATCCCGGGCTGGGGGTGAGGGGTGCCCGTGGAGCCCTTGGGGGTTCCTTTTGGAGGTGGCATTGTCCCTGTGCGGGGGCACAGTCTGTCCCAGCTCCCAGCCCCCACAGCTGAGCAGGGACACAGGTTTGCTCATTCTGATGGGCACAGCACTGGTGCTGGGGGGCCATCCAGCATGGATGGAGGGCAGCGGGGATCTGCGGCAGGGGAGGGGTGTGTAAGGGGGTCCCGGGCTTCCGAGCGCTGCAAGGATGATCAGAAGAAGCGCCGGTCCCAGCTGGCACCCCACGACCGACAGGGCACCGCCCCCAGCCCATCAAGGGGTTCGGCCTCTGGCCAAGAGCCCCCTCCCCCGGCTGGTCCCCGCAGGGACCTATTTCGGGCAGGAATGAGGAAGCTCTTCATTCCCCTGCTAAAAATAGGGACCTTTCCCAGCCGCGGGTCAGCGCGTTCACACTGGGGCGGGGGGCGGGCACGGGGGGCTCCGCAAACTCCGTCCGAGGAGCGAGGGGTACCCACCCCTCACTGGAGTGGGGTCCCTGCTCGCCCCGGACAAGCCCACTCCCCCCAGGGTGGCCCTGGCGGCACCGGGACCCTCCCTCCCGGCGAGGAGTCGGTCCTCAGGGGGGACACCGGGGATGCTCCGGCCCCGCTCCCCCCTCCCGAGCCCCGGGGAGCTGCCGGGGGCTGTCGCAGCGCCGCGGCCGCGGCTCAAGGACGCCGCTGCCACCATCTAGTGGCTCCCGCTGGCTCTGCGGGGACAACCCCGGCACCGTGTCGCCGTCCTTCTGTCCCACGCCCCAGGCAGGGCGGCGCAGCTCCCTCCCGCCGTCGTGGCCCCCCCGAGGGCGCCCAGGCAGCCGGCACACGCGTGGCTGAGCAGCCCTTTATTGAGGGTACGGCTGGGGCAGGACCCGCGGGACGGGCTCCTGACCCCACAGACCCGGCCTGGGGAGCAGCAGGGACCTGGCACGGTGCGGTGGGTACCGCACAACCAGGGCATGGGGGCTCCCCCAGCGCCAAGTGCCCAGGATAATAGTGAGCTCGAGGGGTGCTCCTCGCCACACCCGGCATGGCAGAGGGGCTGCGTTCCTTGCCCCGAGCAGGGCAGGGGTCCCGGTGCCCTGGCTCCCACCACACTGGGGGCTGGGAAGGGGCACATCCCCAGCCGAGGGCGAGCTCAGGCGAAGACGGGGGAGTTCTGCCAGTAGGAGTAGACGAGGAAGCCGGTGAAGGTGCTGTCCGTCTTCACGCTGGCGTAGAAGCCGATGTAGTCCCCCACTCCCACCTGCACCCACACCTCATCCTCGGGCTCCAGGCGCACCAGGGTGCCCCCCGAGAGCGAGGTGGGCTTGGGCCAGTTCCCGTAGTACTGGAAGAAGGAGGCGACGGTCTGGCCGTTCTTGACGATGTCGAACTGCAGGCTGGTGCGGTACACGGTGGCGTGCACGGCGAAGTAGTAGAGCCCGGGCACCTCGCAGGTGAACTTGCCCGAGGCGGGGTCGTAGTGGCCCTGCTCGTTGATGAGCACCACGTCGAAGAGGATGGGCTGGTCGGGCAGGGGGGGGGCTGCGGGACTCGGAGCGCTTGGCGCTGAAGGCGGAGCGAGGGGCCACCGCGCACTCGCCCTGAGCCCCCTTCTCGCCGTGCAGCCCGTCCACGCCGGGGCTGCCCACCTCCCCGCGGGGACCGGGCACTCCTGGGCGGGCAGGAGGGGGACAGGGTTACCTCTAGGGCGTTGCCACCGCCACCCGAGCTCCCTCAGCCCCCCTGGCCTGCCCCAACCAGCCACGCCCGGGGCACTGCCTGGGGAAGCAACGCAAGTGGGGAGGGCTGGGTGCGTGAGATAAGTTGGCATAGCATCAACAGTTTGCTGGAGATAGCCCTCTGGCTGGGAGAAAACCCACCCTAGGAGCCAGGGAAGGGATGATGAAGCCCTCTTCCTGGTAGACTCTCCTAAGGCAGGGCTGGAAGAAAAGGATGACATTGGGGATGGGGACAAATGCAGCTTTGCCAGTGACAGGGAGCTGCTGCCTTTTACAGGAGCACAGGGTCATCACAGGCAGGACCAGAGAGGGGGTGTGTGGCATGGAAGGGGCACTTTTGCAGGATTCACCCTCAATTTTACAACATGGGGCTGTGCCAGCACCCAGGACTCACTCCCTGGCATGAGAGCATTCCCACAGACAGGGCAGAGCAGAGCAGATCCCCCTCCCCAGCAGGAGTGTCTCCTTTCTTACCAGGAGGGCCCATCTCGCCCTTCTCCCCGGGCATCCCCATGGCACCATCCCGGCCATCTCGTCCATCCCTGCCTGGCAGACCCTGGCCCCCGTGCAGACCCGGAGTCCCCGGGATTCCTGGCTGCCCCGAGCACAGCCCAGGGATCTTGTTGTCTTCGATCTGCAAGGAGCTGGTGATGAGCCCGAGCAGGATGAGGAGGAAGAGCTGCTTCATCTTGTCCGCCGTGGAGGGGCTGGAAGGGGCAGAGAAGGGTCATGGCTCTGGGAACCAGAGCAGAGAGGGCTGGGAGATGGGCTCGGCAGGGAGTGGGTGTGGGGGGTCGGCAAGGGACATTCCCCTCTTCTTTTCCCTTTGCCTTTTTGGCAGCTCCTCACAGCTGCACCTGCTGCAGCATCCCCACGGCCCCTGTGCCATCCCTCCACCCTGAAGCCCCTGGGGTAGGTCCCGGGGTGCTGGGGACGGGGAATTGGGGAGGGGGCTGTGTCACGGGCAGCTCTGGGGGTGTGGCTGGCGGCTGTTCGGGGTGGGCACTGCCCCATCAGCAGCGTGCCCGGCTCCGGGGGAGCGGGCAGGGGGGAATTAGGGGTGTCAGTGGGTGCGGTTGTTGCATCTGGGGGTGAGTGGAAGGGCGGGAGCTCGGGGAGCGCGGGGCTGTGCCGTGGCCCGGCCCTTGGCAGCATCCCGGCGGCTCCGGCTCCACTCCACGCCCGCCCGGCTCCCTGGGGGCTGCAGCATCCCCGGACCACCCCGGCGCCGGGACCACCCCGCTGCCCCCGCTGCCCCCAGCCCTTCCCACAACGGGAACAGAGCCCCGCGGCCAGCGCTGGCCCCCCCCGCCCCGTGGCCTCGACCCAGAAAAGCCGCTCTCTCTTCCCCCCTCCACGACTGCAACAAAGAGGAAAAGGAGGAGAAAAAGTGTCTCTTCTCCGCCCAGGAGCCGGAGCCAGGAATTCAGAGAGTCCCAGCTGCCCCCGGCTGGGTGTCCCCACTCACTGCGGTCCCAAAGCTCCTGCCCCGGTGCCTCGTTGCTCTCCTGGGTGGAAGGGCTGCGGCTCTTCCCGGCCACTTCGCTCTGACGAAGGCCCTGGGAGAGGCAGCCTCTCCACCCCCCCCTCCTCCTCACGTCTCTCCTCCCAAACTCCAAAGGAAATCAAGGGCCTTGGGAGCCAAAAGCTACAAGACAAGGGGAAAAAGAAAAATAATCCCATGGTGTCGGGAGTGTTGTAAGCAGGGGGAAGGGAGAGCGAGGCAAACAGCCTGGACAAGGGAGGGGAGGCACGGGCTGCAGTTCACCTCCACTGAACACATCTGGGCACCCAGGCAGCAGGATGGAGGGGAGGGAAAACAGGAAAAACAGGCAGCAGGGGGGAAAGGGAACAACAACAGAGAGGCTGAGGGAGGGAAATCCAGCAAAGACTGGGAGGAAGAGGGAGCCCTCGGAGTGTGAAAGTCTCCTGACTGGCAGCCTTAGGGCTGCTGCTGGCAGCAGAGCTGAGGCAAGGGGGGATGGCAGGGCACACGCAGCCTGGCAGTACCAGCCCCAGGAGAATCTGTGGGGAGCTGCAGGAACCATCCAGGGGGTGGCTGAGCGGGCAGGGCAGGTGGAAGCACAGGCAGAGCAGCGCTGTGGCCGTGCCAGGAGGCAGGGCTGGCCCTCAGGGGACCGTGGAGCACGTGGGGAAGCTTTCGAGGCGCTCCCAGCTTGCCTTTAACTTGTTCCAGAGCCGAGTGCATCCAAGGGACACGGTCAGACACCGGGCAGCGGGGCAGTCCCGTGGCTTGGGGAAGTCCCTGTACCCCACAGCCAGTGGGACATGCAGGGAATGAAGGAACCAGGCAGGCTCAAGCCCCCTGAGCCATGTGGGCAGGGTGGTGCCGTGCTGGGTACAAGGGCAGAGCGGGGCTGACCCTGGTGTGTCCTGCTCCCAGTGACCCCAGCCGGGCTGGGGACTTCCCCACATGCTCAGGAGGGGTGAGGGCAGCAGGAAGCACTGCTGGCTCTCTCCTCCCTGTTCCAGTGCCCACAGCAGCGTGGTGGCATTGCTGGCTGAGCCTTCCGACCCCAGTGCCTGGGGCCAGGCTGGGTGCTGGCAGGGAGCTGCCTGGCTCCTCTCTCCCAAGGTGTGAAGGGACTGTTGTTTTTGGCCAGCTGGGAGCTGGTTTGTGGCCGTGGGGTGTTGCCAGGCCTGTGGCCATCAGGGTGGCCTCCAGCCAGCACAGCCAGCTCAGCCAGCAAGGCCACAGCTCTTGCTCAGGCAGGATCCCTTCCCTGCACCATGGGGCCACCAAAATGACCCCCTCCAATACCCATCCATCTCCCTGGGACCTTGCAAGCCCCTAGCCCAGTGAGGGCACAGCTGTCCCTTCTCCCTTGTGCCCTCCATTCCTGCTGAAACCCCCCACTCCATCCCTGGCTTCCCTCCCTTGGCCCATGCCTCAGTTTCCCCAAGGATCTGGCAGGAGCCACACACAGACCCTCCCCAAATGAGCCACTTGTTTCATTGGAGTTGTCAGCTGCTGAAGCTGTTTATTCCACTGGCTTTGGGGCTGCTGGACACGGGCAGTCCTGGGCTCTTCTTCCTGCAGCCTGGCTCACCTCTACCTGGCCTTGCTCCGTTTGGGGAACATTAGCCTTTTCCCTGGTGCCCCCAGCACAGCCCCTCCAGCCCAAGCCTTTCCCTGTGGGATGTGTCACCTGCTCTCTAGGGATTCGGAGCTGTGGGCAGAGGGCCTGACCCAGGGCAGGTGAGGAGCCAGGCAAGGGGGGCTGCAGGTGGGGGCCACCCCAGCAGCTTGGCATTCACACCAGGAGGAGGACAGGAGGGACATTTGGGGTGGGGAGGGTATCTTCATCCCCTGCTCCTCTTCTCTTGCGGGGTCAGGGCTGGAAGCACTCCACGGGGTCGTTGGAGTCGGGCAGGATGTTGCAGTTGATGGGCCAGAGGATGCCCAGGAGGCCGAGGGAATGTTTGCAGCGCAGCTCTGCCGCCAGGCACACGGCTCGGCAGGGCTGCAGGACCCCCCCGTCCGGGGTGCACTTGGGCACGAAGAGGCTGCAGATGAGCAGGCGGAGGTGCTGGAAGCACGGGAGCTCCATCAGCGTCTGCGGGAGAGCGGCGGTGAGCCGGGAATGCCAGGAATGCCGTGGGGAGCCTGGAATGCAGTCCAGGGGCAGCCCCGCGGGCGGCTCACCTGATAGTCCTGCAGCACCTCGGCGGCTCCCTCCTGGTCCGGGATGGCCAGCCAGATGTTGGGGAAGGAGGTGGCGTTGTAGCCCAGCCCCAGGCACATCTCCACGTGCACGGGCTCGCAGACAGACCCTGCCACGGGGAGAGGGGCTTCAGTCCTTACAGCAGCATGTCCCCTGCCCCATGGGGGCTCAGAGGGGGCTGAGGACTGAGTGGAGCACCCAGGGGTGGCACTCACCGAAGGCTGGGTAGGACACCCCGGTGCAGTTGAGCTCGTCAGTGCCATCAGGACAGTCGTGCCAGCCGTCACACACCGACTCCAGCGCCCGGCACTCGCCGTTCCTGCAGGAGAACTCTGCGGGGCTGCACGTCTCTGGAAGGTGGCAGAGGCCAGTGTGGCAGGGTGTGGGCATGGCTGGGAGTCAGTCTGCTCACCACTCCTGTCTCTGCTCTTCTTGGTGGCTGGACAGGTGACTGTCACCAGCCCAGCTTAGGGAGATCCCAAATTCCCTGGGTTGTTTAGGGGCAGCCCTCAGGTAATGGATTGTGCTCCTGTGCAGGTCAGCCCCTCCAGGTCACATTCCCACAGCTAGGATCAATGGGGTTATAGGGTAATTCAGGCGCCCTGTGGGCCTGTAGCCCAACCTGTTACTCCAGGCCGGGTCAGCTACAGAGCAAGAGCAGTTTTTTCCAGGGTTTTATCCAGCCTGGCCTTGAAGACCCCCAAGGATGGCGACAGCACAGTCCCCCTGGGCATTCTGTGCCCTTGCTTGGCTACCTACTCTCAGTGGCATTGCGGGCTTGGTAGGTGGCAAAGAACCCGTTGTCTGCTACTCCCTCATCTGCCACGAACAGGATGGTCATGACATGTCGTGAGGAGGTCAGGGGGGGTGGCAGCTGGTGGCCACAGAACCTGCCAAGGTGAGGGATGAGGTCAGGGTGGGCTGAGCAGCACCTCCCAAAACCCCTGCCCTCCGGCAGCTCCTCCCCACCAGCCCCCCCCGTGCCTCAGTTTCCCCAGCTGAGCCAGGGGAGCCCCGTGCCCCCAGGCTGGTGCAGCGGGGCTGGAGGTACCAGGGGGTTGGGCTGTACCTGCCCATGAGGCTGGCAGCCCCCGTGCCCGCGCTGTCGTGCACCTCCACGAAGTCGAAGCTGCAGTCCTCGTGCGACTCCAGGCTGAAGTTGTGGAAGTGCAGGTCGATGACGTGGCCCACGGGCACTGAGATCTGCCAGAGGCACAGCTGCGGGGCAGGGGGCAGCCGGCGACACCCCTGAAGCTGGGCAGGGGCACCCCCAGCCATCCCCAGGGGGAGGTTGCCTTTCCTCCCCGCCCAACCTCACCCTCACCCTGCTCCCACCTCCGTCCCTTCTCTCACCTGCTGGTGTGGGTATGGCTGGGGATGGTTCGGGGTGGAGAGGTGCCCCTCCAAGGCGGTCAGTGGCCCCCCACACTCTGCAGGGACACACACATGCAGCTTTACCCCCGACCCTCTTCCTTCCCTCCATCTCCTCACTCCCCCGCCTCCCCACCCATCACTGTGCCACAGTGACTGAGGGCTGGGGGCTGCAGGCAGGGCTGTGTCCCACCCACCTTTGTGCTTCAGGCTGCAGTTGGCCTCATCACTCCTGTCCGTGCAGTCGTGGAACCCGTCGCAGACGAAGCCCAGGTGGAGGCAGAGCCCCTGGTCACACAGGTGCTCGTCCCAGGCACAGCTCTCTGCACACAGGCAGAGACAACTCGGGATGGGGGGCAATCCCACTGGGCACTGTCCCCTCCTGGAGGGACCCCCATGGCTCTCCCCACAGCGAGGAGCCCTGGCAGTGCCCGGGGTGGGGGGTACTCACTCTCACTGGGGGCCACGGCGCGGTAGCGGGCGCTGAAGCCCAGGGCGCCCACGCTGCTGTCGGAGACGAAGGTGACGCGCAGCCGGTTGGAGTTGGAGTTGAAGGTCGGGGGGGCCACGTTGCCACAGAACCTGGGGGCACAGCAAGGGGTGACACTGCTCACTGCCCCCTCCCCACTCCACCACCACGCTTCTCAAGCGTGAGGGTCCTACCTGGTGGGGCCACTCCGAGCCGGGGCAGGATCCACGCCCTGCTCCTCGTAGAGCTCCACACGGTCAAAAAGGCAGGAGGCCGTGCCCTCCACACTGAACGTCTCCATCTTCAGCTGGATGGCGAGCCCGGGGCCCACCTCGATGCGCCAGATGCAGAGGGTGTCGGGGGGGTAGGGCCCGGGGTAGTTGGGGGAGCTGAAGGAGCCCTCGGGGCCCCGCAGGGTCCCTCCACAGGCTGCACGGGGCAACAGCGTGGGCATGAGCTGGTGCAGGGCACCCCCGTCCCCAAACACTGCCCCACGCGGGGACACTTACCCGGTGCTGCCGTGCGGGCTGTGGGCACCCAGCTCTGCGTTGGGGTGGCAGCTGTTCTGGGGCCCGGGGGGTCCCTTGGGGTGGCTGCTGTGGTGGTGGTGGCCGTGCCACGGGCGGGCAGGGCTGTGGCTGGGGTGCCGGGTGGGTGTGGGGACGTCAGCTCTGTGCCCAGGGAAGAGCAGGGACTGCTCAGCCCCAGCAGGGAGAGGTGGCTGCAGTGCAGGGAAGGGGCTTAGGAAGCCCACCCAGCCCAGGTGTGCAGTTCCCAGGGGATCCCACACAGCTCTCCCAGGGGCCGGTGGTCCTACCACATCCCAGGGAGGTGGAGATCCCCCTTGCTCTTGTACCTGGGGGCACTCTCCCCCCAGCCTCAGGCAGACCCTGGGGTGTCCTCTCAGCGTCCCTCTCCCCCTCTGAGCCGGTTCTTTGTCCCCCCCACCACAGAGCCATCCGCCAGCCCTCGCTGCTCGGGCACTCACGGTGGATGACGATTCCCAGCAGGAGGGCGATGAGGAAGAGCAGGATGGTGCTCATCAGAGCCACGCAGAGCCAGGTGAACTTGCAGTCGGCGCGGTACCTCCAGCCTACCTGTCCCCAGAGCTGCTGGCCTGCGGGGAAGGCGAGGACAGCGGGCAGAGCCCGGGTGCCGCTAAGCCGTGCCCCCACCTCCCTGCACGGCTGGCTGAGCCCTGCCTGGGCACGTCCCTTCCTCTTGTTCCCGGGTCCCCTAAGCAGCCCCAGAGCCCACCAGCCCGCTGCTGCCAGCCCCGTGGGCAGGGGGGTGTGTGTACAAACCCCCAGGTTGGTACCGAGGCCGTCCCGGGGTGATGCAGGGCCGGTCCCATCCTTGTCTGGCGGGTGCTCCGTGCTCGGGGCTGCCTGGGGCTCCTCGCCCTCGAAGACAGGGTTGCAGAACTCGGTCTGTGGGAGAGCCAGCGCGAGTGGCACGGGGGGAAGTGGGCATGTGGGGACCTCCAGCAGCACCCACACCCCCAGCCCTACCTTGCTGTGGTCCAGAGCCTCGGGGCAGAGCGTGATTTCGGTGAAGTCTCTCATGGCAGTGGGCGATTCCTTGGCTGGCTAAAAGCACCCCCAGCACTCCGTGCCCCCCAACACAGCTCCCAGCCCCACACCCCGCTCCTCCCCAGCCGCCCCCATGGACTCCGGGGCGCTGTGGGCACCGGGCACGGGTGGTGGCAGTGCCAGGCTGTGCCTACAGGTACCACCGCAGCCCCGCAGCCCGCAGAGCCCCCAAGGCCATGCCCGCCGTGCCGGCAGTGCAGGGAGCCCCGGGAAGCAGCGGCCCCAGTCCCCTCTGCAGGCCCCTTCCCCCCTCGCCCCGTTAATCCAGCTCAGCTGAGGATGCCGAGGTCAGGCTCTGGCACAGAGAACCAGCTTCTTAAAGGGGACTGTGTGCTCTCACCCACCCTGCTGGGAGCCCGTCCCGACAGGGACCCTGCTCCTGGGGGCACAGGGGCTCCCTGGGTTGGGCTGCTGACCCTGGGCTCCCCACTGTTGAGGGCAGCACTGAGGGGGCTGTGCTGGGGACCAGAGGCTGAGCATGTCCCCCCTTGCCTCACTGGGTGCCCGAGCCCAGCCACCTGCATTCCTGCTGCCCCTTAATGCCTCAGTGCCCGTCTGGGCCCTAAGCAGGGGAGAAAGGGGTCATTGTTCAGGGGCTTTGAGGAAAGAGTCTGGGCACTGCAGGGCTGGAAAGGCTCCTTCTGTCTCCGGACATTGGAGGGACTGCCACCTGCACACACATCTCCCTTGCTCCAGGGACGTGGGTGCTCCAGGGACATGGGTGCTCCAGGGACATGGGAGCTGTTGAGTCTCCAGAGCCATGCACAGCCAGGCTGTTCTGGCACTGGTGGCAGCTTCCCACCACCCTCCCTCCCAGAGAACACCACGTGCACACAGAACTCTTTTCAAGCTCGAATTTATTCCCGCACGAGTCTCCCTTGTATGAGACACTTCCCACCCATCTTGCTTACACAGTAAACAAGCCACCTGCCAAGCAGCAGCGCTGCCCCAGTCCAGTACCTGCCCCGGGCAGCCCCCCCAGCCTGGCCTGCCCTCCCTGAGCCCCACTGGGATGCCCCAGGCTGGGCAGGGTGCTCGTGCCAGCGCTCAGCCCGTGCCCGCAGGGCAGCGAGGGCGAAGCCAGCCGGGTGCTGGGTTGGATGTAGCTGCCCTGCAGGCTGGGATGGTGCTGGGTCAGGCCCGTCCCTCCTCCCACTGCACCTCAGGCAAAGGCAGGACGGGGAGGAGGCGAATAAATTAGAGAAAAGGCTAAAAAGGCCACTGGCATTTGCTTTAGCTGGAGGATGGAGCAGCAGGGCGGGTCCCCGGGCACCCAGGGGGGGCTCCTGATCACGGGGAGGAAAAAGCCCCAATTGCAGATGGTCCCGGAAAGCCACTGTCCTCCCCTCCCTCTCCTCCACAGGAAGGATGCTCCTGTGCAACCCCAGTGGCCCCCCGCTCCCCTAAATGGTTTAAGGCACCGTCGTATGAGGAGGCAGGTAAAAACCTACCCGAGGCATCCCCCGACACCAGTCCCTGGAGAGGTGGGAAGCGGCGGGGTGGGTGCTCCAGGTGAAGCAAAGTCCACTATAAATACATATAAATTCCACAAAATGTTCTCCTCCCTCCTGTCCGTGAGTCTGGGCCTGAGCTCAGGCTGCTGTGAGGAGTGTTTGTGTGGGGCAGCTGCTGGGGAGCTGCTGCCTGAGACGGGACGGAGGCAACTGGAGTGCTGGAGTCCTTTGCCAGGAGGTTTGAAAGTGCCAGGAGGAGGTCGGGAGCAGTTCACCAATCCTCTGGGGTAGCCAAGCAGATACAGGAGTGCCAAGAGGCCAGGAGGGATGAGTGAGGCTCTCCTGGGTCCCCAGCTCTGGGTGCTGCTGCCCCAGGGGAGCAGAGGTCCTGGCTGAGTCAATGGGACAGGCGGCCCCATTCCCGTAGAGTCCCTTGCTCTGGATTTTTATTACACACCAAAAAAAAAAAAAAAAAGGAAAAAAAAAAAGAAAAGAAAAAAAGGAAAAAAAAAGAAACTAAACCCCCAAGTTAAAAACCAAATGCCAGCAACCAGAAGGCGCCTGGGCTGCCTGAGCCTTGTCCTGCCATGAGCTGCCCCTCCTCAGTTCTCAGCTGGGCTGTCCTTGCCCGGGCTCTGCTCCTGGCTGCTCCCTCTGCAGCCACCTCGGGGGTCTCTCCTCTTCACCTCCCTCTTGCAGCTGGGGGGCCACACGGCCGGGACCTGGCTCTGAGGGGTGGCACAGGGGTCCCCAGGGAGGCAGCAGGGCTGGCTACATGCGGGAGGACGGGCTGGCCAGCTCGTAGAAGAGCAGGTAGGCGTCGCTGCTGCGGACGTGGCTGGACGACATCGGGGTGACGCTGCGGAGAGGGCAGGAGAGCTGTGAGAAATGGGGATGGGGGCACCAAGATTCCCCGAGCAGGGGGGTCCCTGCTGGCCCTGCCCCATCCCACAGCAGCCTCACCGGGAGTCGTTGAAGGTGTGCCACTCGCTGGACACGGGGCTCTTGCAGTAGGCTGTGTAGTGTCCCCCCATGGTGGTGCCCGAGTGGTTGGAGACGGCGTAGAGGTTGTAAACGGCGTGATCTGTGGGGGACAAAGGTGCTGCTCAGCCCCGCTGCCCCCCAGCATGCCAGCACGGGGCTGGATCCCCTGGATTCTGTGGCTCCCACCCCTCAAACCCCTTCCCCCCCACACAGCTGTGACACCCGGGGGAGCACGAGGAACACGGGAGTCACCAGAAGCTCAGGGCAGTGCTGGAGCCAGGCAGGGACTGGGACTCACTGCAGCTCTGCGAGGCGAATTCCCGGAGGTCCAGGTCCTTCAGCTGGAAGTTGACGAAGGTGGTGAGTTTGCTGCTTCGTATCCTGGACTCGGAGAAGCGCTTCAGGTCTGGGGGGCATCACGTCAAGGAGCCAAGGGACAAAGGGGGGCCCGTGAGAAACCACCTGCCACCCCCCCCCCCAGCACTCCCTACACCCCCATCCCTCTGCCCAGAGGATACGAAGCACCAGGATCTTGGGGAACTTCTGGATGCTGAATTTCTTCGTGCACCTCGTCCTGGCTTTGCAGCGACAACACGTCTGTGGGGGGCAAACAGCACAAGCAGGAGGGTGAGGGCAGAGGCCAGTCCCCCCTGCGCCCACAGTGCTGGTAAGACAGGTATGGAGGGGGAAAGGTGCCCATCCTGCCCCCAGGAAAGCCCCCCTGCCCCGTACCGGTTTCTCGTCCCCATCCAGCACGTCCTCTTTGGTGAAGAGCCGGAGACAGTCCATGAGCGTCACCTCCCCGTAGCCTTTCTGTGGGAGCACAGGGAGGGTCAGGGACAGGGAGTGAGGGGCAGGGGGCCAGGGGTCATCACTGGGGGTGCCTCACCTTGGGGATGGGCAGGGACAGGTCCCAGAAGGGGTCGAAGGCGGTGGAGCAGTAGCCACACTCGCTGCAGGTCAGCGAACTCTTCAGCTGCCCAACGAAGAGGTCTGGTGGGGTGGGACAGAGCAGGGTGAGACTCTCGGTTCCCAGCTCAACTCCCAGCCCTGCCCTGCCCTCCTCTCCCCCAGGCCCTGCTCACCGCTGATGCGGCTGTCCTCCCTCTCCTGGTACCTCCTCCACATCTGCCGGCTCTTCTCGTCGTCACTGCAAGGGGTGGGGAGACACACGGGGAGTGAGCGTGGCCTGGAGGATGCCGGCCCTGCCACCCAGCCCAGAGAGACCCCTGTGGTCACTGTCCCTAGGCTGCTGGGCTTGCAGGCAGTGAGCTCCTCTTACCCAGTTCCTCCACCCCAGGCAGCACTTACGGGAGGTGGTCCAGGGTGTCCGTGCTGGCCCGGGGCCGCACCAGCACACGGTTCACCTCGCTGTGCAACCCATCCAGGAGGAACCGCAGGAATTCCTGTGCATCCTGCTGGCTGCAAGGCATGAGGCACTGCCGGTGAGCGGCAGCAGGGGGGGCTCGGCTCCCCCCACCACCGCTGCACCCACCCCCCCTTACTTGTAGCCGACGAAGCGGGGGGCGTATCTCTGGATCTGCGTCTTGAACTCGGAGGGGCTCACGCTTTCGTTGGGGGACGAGGTCCAGAGCAGCTGGATCAGCTTTGCGAACTCTGCGGGCAGAGAGGCACGTCAGCAAGCTGAGGTGGCGTGGCATCACTGTGCCCCCCCGGGGCAGAGCTCAGCACCCCACCTGGGGGTCCCTGGACCCCATCCTCCCCCTGGCTGAGCACCCAAAGCACAGCGCCCGCCCCAGCAAGGCTGGGGAGAAGCACCGACCTCGGGGTGGGTTTCCCCAGGATTTGGGGCATCCCGGGGGGGTGAGGATGTGCTGCAGGGCTGTGCTGCAGGGCTGTGCTGCAGGGGAGCCCCCGCAGTCCCCAGGGGCCGGCAGTGGACACTCACCTGACATGAGCGCCGTGCGCATGCGGCTGTTGTTGTTGAGGTCCCGCAGGTACTGGTTCTGCAGGCAGTAATCCCGCAGCTCCTTGGTGTTGCTCAGGCACTGCAGGATGGAGTTCATGAAGCACTGGGGGAGGCAGAAGAGAAAACCATGGCAACGGGAAGCAGAGGGAGGGAGGCGGTGGCAGGGGGACACCTGGGGTGGGTGGGCAGAGGATGGATGGGGACAGAGCAGTGCAGAGCAGGGGAAGCTCTTCCTGCAGGGAGCTGCCAGGGTGACAGAGTGGGTGCTGGGGGGCGAGGAAGAGGGCCAGGGCTCCCCCCTGTCCCACAGATGTGCACGGGGTGAGCTGGGGCCGTGGTGCCTGGGCACACACTCACCGTATTGCCAAGGTTCCGCAGCCCAGTCAGCCCCTGCACCGCCTTGGAGCTCTGCAGAGAGAAGGAAGAAGGCTGAGATGGTGCTGCACTGGCCATGCCACAGACATGGCGCCACAGACACCCCCATGGAGCAGACCCTCCAGTGCCAGCAGAGGCCCCATCCCGCTGTGACATCATGGGCAGGGCCAGCACAGCAGCTGCTCTCTGGGCCAAGGACCTGGGGAGAAGCCATGGCTGGCCTGCCCCGTCCTGCCTGCCAGGCGGCTGCTGCTGGCCCAGGGCAATGCACAGGGCTCAAAGTTCTCCCT